AAGTTGTTCCATGACTTATTTATCATATTTTGTATCATGCGTTGCAATGTACTGTGTCATGCCATGGCCCATGGTACAACGAGTCAAAACTCAATTTAGCTTCTACTCTTGGACCCTATTGGCCCAACTTTCATCCTAGCTTGATCTTAAAGTTTTCCAATAATCCAAAACAACAATTAAAAACCCTAAATCATAATTAACTTATTAATTAATATACTAATTTACTAAATTACCCTTTAATTAGAAATTTAGATTTCAGATTTTAAACTTGGGGTATTACATCTCCTCCTGATTGTAAAGTGTGACAAAATAAAATGTCGTGTTTAGGGTTTATGGAGTTAAGACTAATTTGAATACATGTATTACCTTATGTAGACTGTGGGTCAAATAAAATTTTATTTTGTTTACATTTATGGTCAATGTTTGCTAACATGTCTTTGTTTTAGGTTGGGAATTTTTGCATAGTTTTTTAAGATCTGTACCATAATGTAATATATGATATCTGATATATTACTACCCTAACTCATTTACACATGCAAACATGGGGGACCAACGACCCTTATTTAATAAATATTTACTTCCTTTATAAATTGAGGAGTTTTGCACTATTTTTTAGGGTTAATGGATAAAATTGCTCCATACTTAAGGACACTAGCAGCTCCTCATAGAATACTTAATAGGTATTACCTTAACCTACTTTTTTCATTTTAAATGTTGGTTAAAATGACATGAACTATAATCAAACATGATATCGGATTTGAGTTTGTGTGAATGTAAAAAACAATTTTAAAAAATCAACTTTCAATTGGGCCAACAATTATCTGACATGATATAGCGAGATAGCGGCCTAAAAAAAGATAGCCATATCAAAAATTTTCATTAACTAATTAAAATGATGGATATTTATATCAACTTTCATTATTCATGGATCATGATAGTCATTGGTCAAATTATTTTCAAATTACTACGAACCCACCCACTTTGAAATATAACATTTATAGTAGAGTATTCTATTTACAAGTCATAAATAATACGATGAATTTTTTAAAGTTATTATAATATGATATAACATAAGAACGTCTCATGTAACATCTATTATATGGTCAATTATTTATTTTCATCAAAATTTTAATGTAATGTTGTATAATTATTACTTTTCCACAGACAAAAAAACTATCAGTGGACTTAATAGAAATGTCCCAATAACTTTAGTAAAAAAAATATAGTTTTTTGGCCAAAAAGAAAAAAATATAGGTTAAAATAACACCTTACAAATTTAGTACCTATGATAGTTATAAGGCTAAAAATGCATAAAATCTTATAAACTTTGAGGTGGTTGCATATGATTTTCCTCACCTTTTCAAGTTTAAAATTAACTTCCTTAACCTTTAATTTTATTTTTTAAAATCCCTTATCATTAATTAATTATTATTTTATTAATATAGTTATTGCCATGCCATATTAATACAACTAACATGGCACATGATATGAAAAAAATATCTCTTATTATTTTTTAAACACAATTTAAGGTGTAAAATTGTAATTTCTACTTTCAATATACATGATGACATGATGACATTCTTGTTTTTCTTAGTTAAATGATATTGTTCTCATTGTTCATGGGTAATAAAATTTAAGAGAAAAATTATAGTTTTATTTTTTTATCAATTAAAATAGCCTTTTATATTAAACAAATGAAAAAAAATATTTTAAATTGTGTCACCCATGAACATAATGAGAACAATGTCATGCAACTAAAAAAATGAGAGTATCCTCATATGCGTTAAAAGTAAAAATTATAATTTTGCCCCTCTTTAAATTATGTTAAAAATATAATAAGAATATTTTTCTATATCATGTGCCATGTGTATTGCATTAATTTGACATGGCAATAACTATATTAATAAAATATCAATAAATTAATGGTAGGGGATTTTGAAAAATAAAATTAAAGGTTAAGGGCTAATTTAAAGATGAGAAGAGTTATATGCAATTGTCTCAAAATTTGAGGAGGTTTCATGTATTTTAGCCAAATTATAATAACTTGACTAAATAGTAAATATTTATCAAAATCATTATTTCTTTACATTGGCTTAGTCCCCTTTGGCGTATGATGACTTATTAAAAATATATAATTTACTTGTATTTTTTTTCTGTTTCGGTGTTTTGCATTTCAAAATACAAAATTAAACATAACAAGTTATTGAATTATTATTTTTCCAGTTGCCAAAAAGAATTGACTTGGGATATTTAGATTTAATAAGGAAAATATGATTTATTTGATTTAGTTTGAAGCAAAATGAAAATTAAAATAAGTAAAAGTTGAATATAAGTTGTTTAGATTTTTTAAATAACTGTTTTCATTAAAAAAACCAACCTACATGATTTCGATATTAATTACCCATTTAATATATATATAGAGAGAGAGAGAGCATGAATTATTATATAAATAATAGATACTCAATAGATAATAGAATAGAATTCTTTTGACATTGATAATGTAATCTCAAATGACTGAGGTGGTTTTAAATATTATTACATTTAACTAGTGAGAGCTTTACTAAATATTATTTTATTTATCAGGCTTGAATTTTCAAGTTTTAACCTTATTTTCATCATAAGGCTTGAATCTTCGATTTTATTTTAAGGAAATCCATTTTTTTTCATATTTAACTCAACATTGATAAATTTTAAACATTTTACAATCACAATTTTTTTTAGAAAGCCAAATACGTCTTATTACTTTCTAAGGGCACGTTTGTTTAAGTTCCTCCCCATAAAAATAGTTATTTTTTTTGAAGAATATTTATTTTGTAAAATTTTATCATATTTGTTTAAACTCTTAAAAATATTCAGAATCTAAAAAAATTAATTTCTATTATTTTAAAATGTCATGCTAAATAAAATAAATGAGAAAGAATGCCATAAAAATAGGAGAGTACAAGAAATATTATAACCTGTAGGAATCACTAAATACTAATAACTTTTTATTATTGTAACAAAACATAAAACAATATATATTTATAAATATATATAAAATATCTATAAAATAAATGTACTTTTATAAATATGTAACCTATCTAAAAATTATTTGTTGTTTAATAATAAACAAACAAAACTTAAATTACATTGTGTAAGCATCTTAAAGACATAAAAGCAACAGTCAAGAATCCCCAATAGGGTGGATCAAACTTGACATCAATGGTTCAATAAGCTCTAATAGAGTGGTGGCTTGTGGTGGAGTCATTTGCGATGAAACAGAAAATTAGATTATGGGTGTTTCAAAATATTTTAGCCACCACCCAATACTGCAATTGAACTATTGGGCATTTTAAAAGGTTTTTAGCTTTGTTGGAATGCAAACTTCAAAAAAAATTAATATACACACTGATTCCATGAAAGCCCCTTTTCTCATCCAGCATAACTTCTCTAATAGTTATCCTCTATCAAAAAATATTAAAAAAATCAAGGAGTTTGCAATAAAAGATTGGACAATCACTTTTAATTATATTTATAAAGAAGTTAACAAATGCATTGATATGCTTGCACACCAAGTTTCTCAAGACAATTCAAATCTTATTGTTTTTAATAAATCGCCTATAGGATGCAAAATCATTTTGGATTCTAACATGACTTAATTTTTATAACTTTTGCACGATTTTTCCCCATGGCTTTATAATAATAATTAAAAAAAAGAAGTAACAAGGACCAAGAAAACAACATCCTTTAAGGACAAAGAGTAAAGGAAAAATGATAATAAAATTTCAAAATAGGAAATTTATGATAATTAAAGGAAAAGTGACAATAAAATCCATCCGAATTATACTAATGATAATTTGGTCCTCGAAATGCTATAATTACAGTGAAGTTCTTAGAACTTTTGTGTCAATAAATTTAAAGTAAAAAGATCATTTTACCCTTATTAAAAATAACAAGTATCAATCACAACTTTTTTAAAAAAAATCACAATTTTTGTTCTATAAATTACAAGAGTTGAACAAGAAATCACAACTGTTAAGTGTGATTTTTGTCATTAAAAAATAAATTTCAATCACAACTTTTTATTGAAGGAATAATAACTTTCATGCTGTGAATCGTAAGAATGTACAAGAAGTTACAATTTGTCAAACATAATTTTTATTATTGAAAAATAAATTCTACAAATAAAAAACCCTATTCACAAATTTTGTTTAAAGAATCATAACTTTTATTCAAAAAAATCATAAAAATTAGATAATAAATCACAACTTGTTAATAAAAGTAAAATAATTTTTTTGATTTAGAATTTATTAACAAAGAAGTTCCTATGAATTTCAGTAAAATTGTGACATTTTGAAGGACTTGATTGTTATTTATATTATTCAAAGAGATTTTATTATTATTTTTTCATAATTAAATTCTTGACAAATTTTTCTAGAAAATAAATTTTACATATTAATTTTAGCAGTTAAAAATATAAATCCTGATTATAAATTGAGAGTTATGTTTTAAAATTTAATTATTTTATTTTCAATTAAAACTTCCCATCTGAATCAATATTTATAATTTATTTTTTAAAATTTTTATCAAATTTAACTATTATAAATTTATTGCTTTGAAATTTTAATTTCATTTATCGTCTCCCAAAAGTAAAATACTAGATACCAGGTCATCTTGTCGTCCCTAAATGTTGGAAAGTCAGAAAAATCCTTTTCATTTATTACTACTACAGAGGCCGACTGATAAGTTAACCATAATCCGACATTGCTATAGTAATTAATACTTAATTAAGAAACTTGAGACCAAAAATGCAAAAACGGCCTTTTCCTTGCTAATTGCGAAACGGCATTCGGCAACGCGGCCGAATTCCTAAAGCGGCCGAACCGCGCTGCTAAAGTCGATAAGAACAAAGAACAACATTAGACGACAAGTCGACGTGGCGGGTGAAGATTGTTCAAACTTCAAAGTCGTTTATCCAAATGATTTATAGTTAGTTAGTTTAGTGGCTTACCTCCTCCTCTTCTCGTGATCTCCGCCGTCATATCCTTCCTTTTCCCCTTCTCCTTCATTCGCCATTTCACTGCTTTCCAACTCAGCCTCGTGACCTCCGAACACCTCGCCTCTATCTTATTTTCTATCCAATCCTAATCCGTTTCTCGACTTTGAAAATTCCAAGATTCTAGAATTGAATTAATATGCCTTTGAAATTGAAATTTTGATTTGATTTGATAATAATTTAGCCGTTTCAATTTCAACGAAAATACGAGGACCCTGATATATTGGAATATGGGATAATAAACTCGATTTGTTTATTAATCATTTCCATTTTTTCAAGTCCGAGCAACGTTTTAAAGTCAACTGTGTCAGAGTGGTTGTTCACATTTCAGGCTTAAGCCTCAAGAAGAAGGAGGAGGAGGAAGAGGAAGAGGAAGACGAAGACTGTGAAAAATGTCGAAGGAAGAAGCGTTCATTGGGTCGATTGACCAGGGAACCACAAGCACTAGATTCATCATCTACGATCGCTCTGCTCGTGCGATCGCTTCCCACCAGGTCGAGTTCACTCAGTACTATCCAGAAGCAGGGTAAATAAACCGTGATGATTCCTTCTCCTTCTCTCTCTCCCTTTCAATTTCTCAAACTGTTTTTGAGATTGACTCGTTTTCTCTGATTCTCTGGTAATCTGTGGCTGCTGTAGATGGGTGGAGCATGATCCAATGGAGATCTTGGAGAGCGTCAGGGTTTGTATCACTGAGGCTCTCAAAAAAGCGAAGTCCGAGGGAATCAACGTCGTCGACGGATTGAAGGCAATCGGTGTAACCAACCAGAGGGAGACTACTCTACTTTGGAGCAAATCAACTGGAATTCCTCTCTACAACGCCATCGTTTGGATGGATGCTCGTACCAGTTCTGTGTGCAGGTATTCCTAAATACACTTTTTAGTTTTCTTCGATAACTTTGCCTCTGATTGATCGCCATTCGTTAGATAACGTAATATGTATGATCTTATCGATGTATTTCTGAGTCGTTTATGAGTTTTGGATTTTGAAAACGAGTTGTTTGTTTGATGGTCCGATGGATTCAAACAACATTGCCAATGATGAAAGTATGCTTTTCAGATTGTCAAAGGAGAAAATAAACTGAACAAGTTGATAGGGATGGCCTTTAAAGTAATGACCATAAAATTGATATATCATGGTTATGTATTGCTGGTATCCCATGTTTGTAGCTGGCTGGCCTTTCTATTATTTCGTGATTTTTTGGGCATTTGTTATTCATCATTGTCATATATGGAATGTTGTGAAACAGGAAATTGGAGAACGAGTTATCTGGTGGCAGAACCCATTTTGTGGAGACTTGTGGTCTGCCTATCAGCACTTACTTCAGTGCCACTAAACTGCTGTGGCTGATGGAGAGTGTCGATGCTGTCAAGGAAGCAATAAAGAAAGGAGATGCTCTTTTTGGAACTATAGACACTTGGTTGATTTGGAATTTAACTGGCGGTTGTGTGAACGGCGGATTGCATGTCACTGATGTTTCAAATGCATCGCGGACAATGCTGATGAGTCTTAAAACTCTTGACTGGGATGCATCCACCTTAAAAACCCTCGGCATTCCGGCTCTAATTCTGCCCAAGATTATAAGCAATTCTGAAATCATTGGCAAGATTGCTTCCGGATGGCCAATCACTGAAATCCCAATTGCTGGGTGTTTAGGTGATCAACATGCTGCAATGGTAGGACAAGCATGCAGAAAAGGAGAGGCTAAAAGCACATATGGAACTGGTGCTTTCATACTCCTGAACACTGGTCAAGAGATAGTTCAGTCAACACATGGTCTTCTGACCACTTTAGCATTTAAGCTTGGTCCGAATGCTCCGGCAAATTATGCTCTGGAAGGATCAATTGCGATTGCTGGTGCTGCAGTGCAGTGGCTGAGAGATAGCCTTGGTATTATTAGTAGTGCTAAGGAGATAGAGGATCTGGCTTCACAGGTTGAGTCCACAGGTGGAGTTTACTTTGTTCCTGCTTTTAATGGATTGTTTGCTCCATGGTGGCGAGATGATGCTCGTGGGGTTTGTATTGGAATTACAAGGTTTACAAGCAAGGCTCACATTGCTAGAGCGGTGCTTGAGAGCATGTCTTTTCAAGTGAAAGATGTCTTGGATTCAATGAAGAAAGATTCTGAGGAAAACGATAAAGATAAGAAAGAAAAAGAAGAATTCTTGCTCAGAGTGGATGGTGGTGCCACTGTTAACAACCTTTTTAATGCAGATTCAGGTTTGGAATAATTTCTTCTATTATGCATGCACAGTTATGCAGAACTTACTGCCCTGTTCTTGTGCCAATTTTTCATCTTGCCTTGTTGTTTATGTCACGTATGGAGCTTTGGTATTGATTCTGAGCATGAAATTTTATATTGCTTATTGCCTTATTCATATTTGTATCTCTCTAACATAACACATGCTTGATTTTCACTGATCAGACTCTTTATATTTATTTTGCAATATGCAAACAGCTGACTCCCTATAAATTATAAAAGAATGAGTAATGCAGACAAGCTGTATCATGAAACTTCTGTCATATTCTGCTAATATGAGGCATATCTGTTTCATCAAGTACTGAAAATTCTTTTAGTAATAATCTGTTGCAAATATCATATAACTGAGAACACGGAAATTTGGTTGCTATGTGGGAGAGACCCTATAGGGAATAGCATAGTTTCAAAAAGATCCTTTTCCCTATTGATAATATAGACTTCTGATCTGCTGCATTCCATAAATAGTAAATCTTTTATTATAATGTTCTGCAGGCAGACTTGTTGGGAAGTCCAGTGATCAGACCGGCCGACATCGAGACAACAGCGCTCGGGCAGCCTATGCTGCTGGGCTAGCTGTCGGAGTTTGGACGGAAGAGGAGATCTTTGCTTCTGGTGAGAAGATGAAGACGTCTACTGTTTTTCATCCAGAGTTAGATGAGCAACCGAGGAAGAAGAAAGTGGAATCTTGGTGCAAAGCTGTGACCAGAACATTTGACTTGGTGATCTCTCTCTTTGATTGTCTCTAACCCATGGCTGTCAAAATTATAAGCTTCATTTTTGCTTGCTGGTACATCTGGCATGTTTCTTCGTTAATTATTCTTGGTTCACTTTTCTGAACAGCAAGCAACCAACAGAAACTAAAATTAAAATGAAATGAATAATAATGCCACTACATTTGGCGTGTTACTTGGTCAATCCTCTTGTACATTTTTCTGAACCGCTGCTGTATGCAGTTTCATTATTATTCATTCCATTTAGGCCATACTTGTTTAAGATTTTTTTTAAAAAAGTGATTTTAGGTAGTTTAAAATTCTTATAAGGTAATTAATCATGTTGAGAATTTTTTTTAGGCTTAAATCTCTTAAAAATTTTTGTTTCATGGAATTTCTAAAGTAGTTTTAACTAACACCTCCGAAATCTCAAGTTGGAATTAGTATATCCGGAAGTACCTATAACAGGATTAATGATGTTTTCATTATTAGCCGGACAATAACGGACATAGGCCCAAAAGAGGTAGATTTTTAAGAATTCGCGAAGCCCATTCACATTTTACAACCTAGCAATCGAATTATAGGCCCATAAGTTATGGCTCTTCAGAATAGAATAGACAGACTTATTTCTGTACGTTCAGGGTTTAAATTTTCTAAAATTGGAATTTGTTAATCTCAGTAAAGTTTGTCTTGTAACAAAAGAGAAATAATATGTTATATTTCATAAAAAAATATTAAAAAAAAGGTAAACTTCACTAAAATTCACAGAGATTAACTTTGGATGAGTTAAATCCCTCTTCCAAAATTATTGTATTAGAATCCAACACTCAAACAAGTTTATCTTTCCGTTGTGCCTGGTTATATTTACTCAAGATGATCTAAATCTTATAACTATGAACCTAAACATAGCCCATAAAGTTTTAAGTGTCGATGAAATTGACAAAAACATCCATCTTTTTATTACACACAAGTATCCTGCTAATCAAAGCAATACAAATTTTTAATAACTTCGATTATAAACTTTGCAGGAAACCAAATATGCAAGTTGTAATGTTTGTTGGGGATGTTGTTATAATTTTTCTTCCAATATTACTCCCTCTACTAATTCTACATATAAGATACAGTTGAGAAATTATTTAGATCTTAAATATATGATTTCAGTCTTTTTTATTTCCTTCATTTAATATTATTTTTCACATTCCCTGATTATAAAGGATTTTATGAAAATAGACAGCAAAATTTCAAAAATAAAAATAAAAAAATAATGAAGGTTGAGTCTAATGAAAAATGTTAGTGCTTCATAAAATAATTAACTAAAGTTTTAATTTTTGTTGAAAAAATACTCATATTTCATATTGATGGTAACTTGAATATGATACCGTAATTAGGATGGGAGTGGGACTAGTACTCGGTTAAAAATTGACTTGTTTCTTTTTTAATTGCCTCTCCTGTGTTTAGAGTTTTGCCCTGACTAATTCGGATTCGATCCACATCTCGCACCTGGGTATGGCAGGTGAGTTTTTCAGTGAGAATTTTCTGTACATACAAAGTTGGAATTTGAGATCTGACTTAAGCGAAATTAAATTACTTACCACTTAGACCAACCCTTATTGGTGGGGAAAAAAAATTGACTTGTTAAGTTGCAGTTGCTACTAACGAAGTAGCCATAGTTTATTTCTGGAAGGGAAGAAAAAATTAAAAAGAAACAAGGTGACTGGTCAAATAGTAACGTCGTGTCGCATGCATAAATATGGTAAGTTTTGAACAGTGCTGATTTTTTGGCCAAAAAAGAACAGTACTGATTGATTGATTCCGATGGATTGAATAGAAGTACTTTTGCGAAATTCCGTGACGTATAAATCACTAGATTAAGAAAATTAGATAAATACAGAGATCAATATAAAAAAATTAATTATCAAATAATTAACCAACGTGATAATATTACAATCTCCACTATATTTTTTACTCCTCCTGTGCTAATTATTAACCGTTTCTATTGGATAAAGCTGACACTCAAAATAAATAAATTGGGTGTTATTGAAATTTTTGAAAAAATATAACTTTAAGTCTTTATATTTTACTCACATTTTATTATTGATTATTATACTTTTTTTTTTCAATGCTTTTAGTTCATGTACTTTTATTTTTTATTATTTTAGGTCCCTTTAAAATTTCTATACTTTATTCGTAAAAAGATCTAAAATAATGAAAAATAAAAGCACAAGAATCAAAAATATTGAAAAAAGTACAAGAACTAATAGTAAAACATGAGTAAAGTATAAAAAATTAAAGTTATATTTTTTTTAATTTTTTTTAAATTTGTTCTCAACCTATGAGACAAGATGAACAAATCAAAATTTTAACGTAGAGAGCTTTCTAAAATAATGATGAGAGAGAGAAGAAGAAGCTTTGCACAAGAGATTTATCTTAGATTGGTTTAATCATTGGCCTATTTTTAATTTTTAAGATCTCATTTGAGATTTTTCACTGTAACTACAAGCTTAAATAAGTGTTTGCCATCTTAGTACAATCACAGGATTATCCCAATCTTGATTTCACAAAAACAAAACACTTACAACACTTGTAAATAATTAATACTCTCTCCATTCCAAATTATATAATACTTTTGAGGGAGATTTGCTATCCTAAAATATAGAATACTTTGAGAAGATTAAGGTTTATTAAATAGACTTATTTTAATATTACTCTTTCTCTTTTTATTTAAAACTAATTAAGTGTATATTTAAGATTATTAAATTAAGGGTATTTTTGAAAGTTTATATATTTGTTTTGAAAAAATTAAGATTGTTTAGTGTATTAATGAGATTTATTAGTATGTGAGATTTTGTTAAAATTGTCTTTTAATTTGGACAGAGGGAGTACTAAGGAAAAAATCTTCCTAAAATTTCAAGGCAAAGATTAAAAAAAAAACTTTTAAAGGCAATAACTCTATAAAGAATAGATATCAATATAATTGAAAACTTATAAATCATATGAGAGCTTTTTTATAAAGATATGAATGCAGTAGGTAAGAATTTAATGCAACACAATGCCCAATAATTTGTTACTTATCCACTTAAATGAGGTTATATTTTAGTTTTGATGATTATAATTATTAGGAATATTCAAAAAGTAATTTAGAACCATTAGAGATGTGTAGAAGTAAACGAAAGCAGGAAAAACAATTTTTTCTGTGAACTGTACTAAATGAACTGTCAGAACCTCATTTAAGCATGTACGAGGTTGAGACACGAGTGTATTTGATCTGGGCAGGATGACTTGCTTCACTTCTAACTAGTTTAAGTATGTGATATCATTCAGGCAAGCATGTATCAAGAGTCAAAACACTCTGCTTCCACTGTCAGATATGCCCGGGTTAGCTCTAGGACAAGCATGTATTGGTTAAGTTCTCTCTAAAATGCAAGACACGCATGTATGGTTAACTAAGACAAGCTTGTATTATTTTGCTTAAGTTTGAGGCTCTCTAGGTGAAGTTTGAAAATTTTAACTGCTAAAACTCAGACAAATGTGTATCACAAAGGGACTTGTGTGTTCTAAATTAGGTGCAAGTTCAAGTTGACATACTGGAACTAATACAAACATGTGCTACCATGTACTCAAGTATAAAGTAGATCACAGAAGCTAATCTTTGACCAGTACTAGATCAAGCGTGTGCTCAAATAGGTAACTTAAAGCATTTGCTTTCACTGAGATAGGCATGCACCCTATTTAGGACAAGCATATATTAGAGATCGGTGAAGAACAAGGCTTCTGGACATTAGGACAAGCAAGTATTGGTTCCAACACAAACCTAAATAAATTAACTAAGTCTTATGATGCGTTATTGGAGGCTGAAACATGCGTGTGTCTTGTTCAAAACAAGTGTAATTAGGCTATGAGCACAAAATGCTTTCTAAGTGTTTGACACTAAAAATTTAGGACTTGTGAGCCTATGACATGTTCCAATCAGAATAATTCTTACCAAGTAAAGTATGAAATTGCTCTCACATAATTTTCACATTAAATTTTAAAAAAAATAAAATAATAGCCCTTTTTAAACTATGACTTCTCTTGTTTTTTATATTCTTGAGGTTTTGTCACTTAAGATTATAATGATTGATCTGTACAAGTAACAAACTTATTTCTCTTGGGTTTATAATTATCAAAATATAGGGTCAATAATCTCTAGCTACACCTCAAAACCAATAAGAGGTGGTTAAATTATTAACTTTATCTAAAATAGAGTAAACTTTTAATTTTACCCTTATTTTAAATAATTTTTTTTTTCAAATTTGTGTTACAGTCTCTCTCATGATTATTGAATTTATAGTAACATTGAAAAAATGTATTCCTTCTATTTTCAAATATAAGAAAAAATAAATACTTCACATAATTTAAGAAAGTTAGTTAAATATAATAATTATTTGAAATTTAAAAAAATTGGACTAAATTATCCATGTATTAATTGAACAATTTTTCTAATAAAAATAAACATTGACTTTACAAGGCACAATTTAAAAAATTGTGATAAATATTTTTTAAATTTTAATTTTACTTATAAATAAAAATATAATAAGAGTTTTCTCTATTATTCAAAAACAAAGGGAGTATTGATACCCCATTACGTGCTTTATGTAATTATATTAAAATTAAAAAATCTTTTAGAAAACACCCTGTAATAGAGACTAGAAAAGTATTTTATTGTATTACATATTATTTTATTTATAAATTAATTTTAATATATTTTATAAAATTAAAAAAATTAAAATTGATTAACTCTCTTTAAAAATTTAAAGAGTTTTTTAATTTCGCGTCTACTAAATATATATTTTTATATGTGAATTTTCAAACCAATATATAATAAGAGTAAAAGAAAAACATTATGATAAAGGTTAATGACATGTCTCATTCATAAAACCAAGAAAATTTATTTTTTTATCTTACAAGTAGGATAAAAAGAATAATATTTATTTTTATTTTCTTCATCCTAAAAAGCTGTACAACTTTTTGATGCGTTACGTGTAATCT